TGTGCATAAATTATTATTTATTAGAATTGAGAATTTCTTTATTTTTTTTTAAGCGTATTTATTGAGAGATATTACAATCTGCAACAATCAAGGGCATTTACAATAGTGTTCAGCTGATGACCTAGATGTTGACATCGAAACAAACGAACAGTGTTCAAACAGTACATTCACACTGAAAAAAATTAAGAAATTAATTCACATTATGAGAAATGGATCGCTATATAGATGGATTTATTAAATAAATCAATAGTCTCGTTTATGCCTACCATCGATAATATATTTTATATTAATATTTCGATGTATTAATTAGATTTATTATTGTACAAGAGATTGTACTTCCTTACCACGTATTCAAGCCAAGAATCTTTCAGTGTTGTATGGTAGTACAGTTTTATTTTATTAATCTAGATATTGGTGAATCCTAAATATATACCCCGGAAGAAAAAAAAGTATAGTTGGTGTCTTCTACTATTAATCGGAAGGTTTAATTGCGGACTGGGTCTCTAGAGTGAACTGTCTATATCATGTCCAAATGGAGGGCGGCCAAATCTTGTAGTAAATGGGACATTCTCACCTGACGTCTTAGATGGCAATAATTTAATTATACTCGACTTTAATAAATTATTATATTAAAGAAAACATGAGTTTTTTGGCAAACTTAACCTTCATTAAAATACCAGCAAAACTAAATACGCTTGCTATATAAGAAATAACTTGGTGTGATTATAAATTTGAAACTTTCAACACTTCACAGCTAAGGAACGCTTGAGTCTTTGATTCCAGAAAGACGTAACTTTTGAAAGGTATAAGTAATCAAACAATAGTGATTCATTGAAAAACTACTATTGTGGAAAGAAAAAAGGTTCTGAAGTGCTCATCCAAACATATAAATATATAATGAAATATTCTAACTAAATCTTAAATGTTTTTACAAATAACTCATTATTAACATATAATCATGTATAGACAAACTACCTATTCCAATATATTTTTTGTAGATTCATTTAAGTATCATCAATTCCATTTAATATTGTTTTATTTTATTCATTATTGTTACTTTTACCAATTAAAATATCTTAAAACTGACGATGATGGAAAAGAAACATCGTAAAATCGCCATATGTAGGTATCATCCGTAATTTACAATGGTCACACTACAATTATTTTAATTTAATTTAAATAAAGAGTTATAATAATAAACAACAATAATTTAGCAGATGTTCTCAGATATTGTGAGAAGAATTAATCTCTCAAAAAGATACGCAATGTTTTAACTTTTTACAGACAAACAGAAATGTAGATATTAAATCAGGTTTAAGGAAAAAGTTTGTTGTCGCACATTTTATAAATATATTTATTATTTATGATTTATTCCTTGATTAGGTGAGGTGAAAAAATCTGGTGTGCGCAACACACAACTTTCATTTACCGCTCTACTTTGAATAGAAATTATTTTTTGGCAATGTTGGGTTATTATATTTTTGAAGTGGATTTTAACGGAGTTACATATTAAAGCTTATAACTAACAAATCATTAACTGCATATAGTTATATCTAGCTAAGAAAACTATTAATAATTATATCAATAGTAGGTAATAAAAACCTCGTTACCGTATCTGTTTTTGTAAACCACATAACTCCAATCTCTGAGCTATATATAGCAGTTAAAGTATATCTGCAAATTCAGTCTATAAATTATCATGGATTGTACGCCGTTAAATAAACGGACGTTGATATCTAATTATTTAAATATAATATCAGATCTAGAATTATTAAACTACAGTAAATATATTCAAGTAAATATATTTTAACTTCTTTTTTAAGTACAAAGAAATAGTTTTTTTTATCAATGACGTTGTCTTGATTAGGTGGATTTTAAATACTTTTTTCAAACTTAAAACAAAATTTTAAAGTTTACATTTAGTTAGTAAATTTCATTTAATTTCCTTGAAAACATGTGAAATTCGTAAAAATAATATTAGCTTTCACAAATAATTATTCATAATTTTTCGACACTCTCCATTATTTACTTCTACTCTCTATGTTAGAGATTAATTTTTCTAAAATTCTCCGCTTTCCAAAGACATATTATACGTATACCTTCTCACTAATATTTTCGGAAATAAAATCCGACCTGAATAAGCATTTTTCTTTTTTTTCTTTTATTGAATAACAAAAGTTATATTTAGTCTATTTTCATAACTCCTAACGTGGCGAGGTTGTTAATTATTACAGCAAACCAAATTAATGGTACATTAGAGGAAGACATGTTGAACATTGGGCATTTAAGCTCAGTAAAGTGACATTAATGGGGATAAGACCTAAATGATCTGAAATACCACTTAATTATACAATCATACGCCAAGTTTAATTAAAATCGTTAGAGGTGTTTTAGAAAAAAAAATTTAAAAATGTGTAACATCGATTATATGAAGTGCAACTTCCGGTTAGCCTATTTTGACAAAAGGTTTCTGTAACATCTCAGGCTTATGTAAACCTTAAATATGCAATTTCCCTTTTGAACGACTTTTCGTTTTTGAGCTAGACTGATAACATATACACAGACCATTTTGAGGGACTTTTTTTTTCCCCTCCCCTTCCCCGCCGTTAAGGCTATACGGGGTTTTCCCGGGCCAGGGAGTGTGGGCGGGGATTTAAAAGATTCCTTGGCACCGGGACGCGAACTCGCGACTATTTTTATAACACAATTGTCATTTATCACTTTGCCGGGCAACGGTGGTGCTGTGCACAAAGCGTTAGCCCATTCGGCTACCCCGCCCCATTTTGAGGGACTTGGTTATTTGGACTCAGGGGACCTCAAAACGTTTATTTCCGTTGAAAACTCAGATTCCAAAATTTTTACGATCGTAATACTTTCCCTTACTATATAGGTAAGTGAAATTAATAATATCCAATTACTGGGAACAGCTTTTGGGTTGAGCAGCTTCAATACATTGTCGGTTTGTATTAAAATTAAAAATAAATTGATTCTTTGTATAAATATAGTGCTTTTTGGCTACAGGTATGAATTTAGTTGTTAAATATCTTTGCCATCATTTTAAAGCTAACATTAAGCAATGTAAACGGTGCCGACGATATGTAGTGATTAATTTCTAAAGTAGAACTGAATTATTTTTTTAGTTTGCTAATCTGGATGTATTTTGGAATTTCGATATAGACAATGAACCATCTATTAATAGGATAACGATATCTTTGTCCAATTTAAAGAAGTTTCAAGGATTGAAACGACACAGGATACACGTGAACAAAAAAATAACTTATAAGATGTTTGACAACGCTTTTATTTCAAAACATATTTGCAAACAAAGGATGTACTCACTCTGCGGAAGCAAAACAAATATAAACCATATGTTTTTCCCTTGCCAAAACCTGTTTTAGTATGGAAACACAGACATGCTAATGTGTAAACTCCCTGATTTTGAACATTGGCCAAATACCAAACGAATATAATTCTAAAACTATGTCCTAAAAGGTAGAAATAAATAAAAATTCTAGAAGTTCTACCCTATAAGATTATTAACTATAACGATTAAATTTCTTTTTATTAAAAGGTTACTCGCTTAATAGGAATGAAGTAAAATTATGGTAGTATTAATTTATAAATTAATTATTAATATTAATTAATAATATTTCTTTAGAAACGAGATAATAATAAAAATAAAATTAAGCCCATATTATGAAACAAACCTTTTAAATTACCATAAGTCTATTGTGTGTAGCTAGGTGTTGTCAAATGCGAGACCGAGACGAGTCTTGGTCTTGCAAACTCAGTTTTGGTCATAGTCTTGGTCTTGCGCAAGATTCTCGCAACAGTCTTGCAGTTACTTATCAGCTTATTACTATAGAGATATTACTGTAATTTTTTAGATAGGAGAAACCTAACTTAGCCTGAATGAAAAATTAGAGGAGTTAAATGCAAAAGTATATAGGTTATACCAATTATTTATATATAGTATCTAAGATTGTCAAATATTAGTAACTATTTCGCCTTAATTTTTATTCAAAACATCGATTTTTTTAACCAATCCTGGTCTTGGTCTTGCAACAATTAGGCGGACTTGTTCTTGGTCTTGCAAAGTGCAAGACCAATACCGATTTTGGGTAACACTATGTGTAACTTCTGGAGCGCTAAGACCAACCGTTTTACAGGTCAAGTCTCCAGACCATAGCTTTGTCATAGAAACTAAAGTCTTTGGTTTTCACCATCACCAGGGGAGAAAACCATAGAGTTTGTAAACGGTGAAGTTTCAAGAACAAAGTTGGGACTGTACTTAACGTAGTTTTTCCCATGACTGTGCCATGAAAGGAACCTTATCTAGCAAATTTACTTCAAGTGTAGTTATTCGTGTTAACAATTGTGCAATAAATTACTATTCATGGGTTCTCCTGTAAATAATGGGTAACATTCAATGACACGATAGTAAACCTCAAGAGCAATAAAAAAATTCACATAGTCAATGTAATGATGTCGTTAGCAGATTACTAAGCAGAAATTTATAAGCCGAGTGTAAAATGATCAGGGAGAAAGAAGAGTGCCGGACGACAATGTTGTATATATTTCTTTGATCTGACCGATATACGTCGACTTGTCTGTTACTTAATTTATATAGAAAAAAATAAAATAAAAAAAGAAGCCAGAGGAAGGTTATCTACCTATGATAAAGTGTTATTGTGCTTCTCAGTGTTTTGTATTTTTCAAGTTTGTTTTGTTAGTTTTGTTGTATCGTTTCCTACTGTTTGTGTTATTTTAGTGTTTTATAGTTTTTTGAACATGATTTAGTTTTAGTTTATGTTTATTTAGTTAATTTTATAAACTTTTTGAGTGAACAGTGGAGGTTAAGGTTAACTTTGTGGTTTTCACGAAGGTTTAATCTAACCAAAAGGACGTTTAGAGACTATTACGTTGGTGAAGCACTAAGGTAAGTTCATATTAAAGTCTTACTTTTGAAGATAGGAAATTTATAAGTTTCCCGAACGTAGGTTAGATTTTGAGTGTTGAATATTTCCTTCTACTGTTGTTCACCCATTATTTCAACGTATAAAGTTGTTAATTTTGGATTGCGTAAGATGGCTGATGAAATTGCATCAGCAATGGAGCAGGAAATGGTGGAAGAACAGGCTATAAAGTGCCCAAGGCCTTCAGCAAAGAGGCAAAGGAAAGGATCTCCTGACGCCCGAGAAGAAACAGATAAAGAACGTGTAGACGATAGTCTTCTGCAAGATGCACGTAGAATCAAAGAAAACATCAGGGTCTACATGAACGCAACAGACAGGAACGTGAGTGCGAAGGTACAAAAGCACGTTAATGGGAAAATTCAGCAGTTAATAGATATAATGGAGACAATATATGATAAGAACTATGAAAAAACGTTTTTAGTACAACGTGTAGTAAAGGACACACATTAGCTTCCTCTGAAATGTATGATATCATAGTAAATGCATTAGTGGAAAAAGCAGTACCTATGGTTATCGAGGGACTCAAGACGGAAAGTAAAACCATACAAAGACCACTGTCAGAACCTCAGACATCTCGGGAGTTTCCATGCGTTAAAGAACAACCGCTATTAGCCGATGCCCACGCTATTATTGAGACCACGGAGAATGAAAGTTTCCAGGAAGTAAAGAAAAAGCAAAGAAGGAAAAAGGCTCTTCCACAAGTGGCCAAAGAGATCGAGGCCTCTAAACCAATAGCAGAGGAAAGTTTGACCAAGAAAAGGTCTACACATCAGACTACGATGGCCGATATTGTTAAAGGGCTTCCATTAAAACCGATGGATACTACAAGACCAACTTATGTTACCATCGCTTCTCAAGGTAAAAGTGCAGCTGACATCATCAACAATCTGCCTTCTCCAACTGAACTAGGAGTCAAGGCGAGAGTTGTACGGGCGACCAAAGCTGGCTCAGTTTTAGTTTGTGTAGATGAGGGTGCCCATGCGAAAAAAATAATTGAATGGCAAAAATTAAAAGAAGTTGGGATGGAGGCAAAACTAGCCTTAAAAAGAAAACCAAAAGTGGAGGTAAAAGGAGTTCCCCTTTCATGGAGTGCGGAAAATCTAGAAAGGGTGCTATGGGAAAGGTTGGCTGCAAAATCGGCCGTTATTTCTGAGAACCAATTAGGTAATATAAAGCCATTGTTCTCATCAATGGCTAGAAATAAAATTACCAATAATTGGGTGTTAGAAGTACATCCAATGGTAAGATATAATCTACTCAAGGAGGAAATAATTACAGGAGGTTGGTGGTCACTGACAATCTTAGATTACCCCGATGCTCCTCCCTGTCTAAGGTGTCAGGGATATGGACATACAAAAGCTACTTGTGAGGCAAATGGCATAGTATGCAAGTGGTGTGCGGCGAGTGGGCATATTGCTAAAAACTGTCCCGCAAAAGGAAATAAGACCGCACCTACATGCGTTAACTGCGTGAGGGAAGGTGTTCAAAAAAGTAAGGCTAAACACCAGGCAGGAAGTAGAGAATGCCCAGTGCACATCAAGAGATCTCAAGAATTAGTGAGGAGAACTCACTATGATTAGACTCAACATCCTGCAGTTGAATATGGGCCGCCGGCATATTGTGGCTGACGAGCTTCGCGCCATGGCACAACGCTACGATATCATGGCGGTCCAGGAACCTAGCTGCCGTGGGAACAGGGTTACGGGGTTTGGCCTCACGTCAAGAGTTATAGCCCTGAGCAGTGGAGAGAGGAGGCCCAGGGCTGCAATAGTGATTAATAATCCTAACCTTGACGTGATGGATCTGAGACAACACACCATGGCGGATTATGCATCTTGCTATGTTAAGTGGGGCAAGATTTCTTTCACATTGGTATCGGCATACCTACCTGTGAATAGTGATGTAGAAGAAAGCATATCCGCTATGGAGGCGATCATTAGAGAGATGAGGAATGTGATCATGTGCTCAGATACCAACTCCTGGAACACGGTCTGGGGGTCCAATATTACTGACAGGCGAGGCGCTAAAATGGGAAATTTCATAGGCAGAAATCACCTTGTCGTGATGAACGAACCCTCTGCCACCCCTACCTTCTCTGGAGGCCTGCGCTTACGAGGTATATTGCTGATTGGACTCTCAAATCTGATACGAGTTCCGATCACGTTGCGATAGCAATTGGCCTGGTAAATGAGCCAGGATGTTCCCACGGTACTGATAAGGGTTTCGTCACTAAAATAAATGACTGGAGTGTCTTCAGGTCCTACCTGGAAGGAGTGATTGCAGACGAGGAGTGGGAAGCGGCAGAGATGGATGTAGTTGACAATCTGGACTACAAGGTGTCCAGGATTACCAACAACATTCGTGATGCTGCCGAACACTCCCTCAAGCACCGGAAGGCGAGGGTTCGACCTGTCCCATGGTGGACGCCAGCCTTAACTGTTCTAAAACGAGACCTCTACAAGGCCCGGCGGTCATATCAGAGGTGCAGATGCGAAGAGAGGCGCACTGTACTTCGCAATGAGTACAAGTCAAAAGCCAGGATATACCGAAACGAGGTTCGCTCACAAAAGCGGAAGTCTTGGGATGATTTCATCATTGAAGAGTCTTTGAAGAATCCCTGGGGTATTCCGTATAGGGTAGCATTGGGTAAGTTGTCCCCGATGCAGACTATTGCAGCCTTGCGGTATCATAATACTGAGGCAACCACCCTTGAAGAAACTGCCAATGTTTTCATTGAAGCAATATATCCCAGAGATGACCCAACCCAGGACAGCGAAAATGATGATTTTGTGAGACGCACCACGGTATATCCACCTGGTTCAGATTTGTGCCCACCATGGGACATTCACGATCTTCGTATTGCCGTGGATAAGCAGAAGACTAATCGTGCTCCAGGACTTGATGCAATAGATGCAGCGATCTTGAGGAACAGTATCACGTATATTGAAGACCGGCTGTTGAGTATTTTCAATGAATGTCTGGATATGGGATACTTTCCAAGAAGATGGAAGATCGCTGATTTGAGACTACTCTACAAGGGAGGAGATAGGGACAAACAACTCCCTAATTCATATAGACCTATATGTCTCCTCCCTGTGATTAGCAAGGTCCTGGAGAACCTCATGATGACTAGTTTACGGCCTGTTTTCGCTAGAGCAAGTCATCCACGGCAATATGGATCAACCAGAGGCAGAGGAACCGCTGATGCCCTGCTGAGAGTGCGCAGAGATGTTGAGGAGAGGGCGGAGCGGTATGTCATGTTGCTTCTTTTCGACATATCCTCCGCCTTTGACAGCGTATGGTGGCCTAGCGTGCTCCAGCAGCTGCAGAGGTATGATGCTCCTAGTAACTTATACACATTAGTAAGAAGTTATCTCCAGGATAGAAGTGTCAAGATTAGAGGCAATTACTACGAGGTAGAAGCTTCCATAGAGAGAGGTTGCCCTCAGGGATCGGTGCTTGGTCCTGCTCTATGGAAGCTCGTCTTTGATGAGTTACTGGGAGTGTTAGAGGAGGAGCGGTTTCCTGCCACTGCTTACGTTGACGACCTAGCTGCTGTGGTGGCCTCCAACAGCAGAGCTGGAGTCAAGAGAGAAGCAGAGCGATGCGCCAGCCTAGTCGCTAGATGGTGTGAGGGGAAGAAGATGAGGATGGCTGCTGCTAAGACTCAAGCCATCCTCCTTAAGGGAAAGACTGATAGGGCACACCCTATAACGATGTACATAGAAGGTCAGAGGATACGTCCAAGTGAGGTGGTAACCTACCTAGGGGTTAGGTTAGGTGTAGGCCTCAATATGACGCCTCATTTGGAATATCTGGCAGGTAGGGTGGCCCTAGCAATGAACGGTCTAAGTCGTGTGGGGGGCGCATTTTGGGGCCTTAGGTATCCAGCCACTATCACTATTTATAAGGGTGTTGTGGAGGGTATCCTTAGGTATGCGTCTCCCTTCTGGTTCCGAAACCTCACACTCAGACAAAGAAATAGGCTAGCATCGACTCAGAGAACTGCTCTGCTTCGGGTCACCAGAGCATATAGGTCTACGTCGCATGAAGCAGTGCAGGTCTTAGCGGGGGTGGTGCCTCTCGACCTCCTCCTGCGAGAAGAAGTGACCAGGTACGACTACAAGAAGGAGGGCTCAACTAGTCTGTCGGAGAACCTACGGATGAGGATTATTGAAAACCCAAATAAATGGAAAAAGATTATCCGGGAGGAAACAATTGAAGATTGGAGCAGACGGTGGGTGACGACTCCGAAAGGCAGTACCTTAAGAAAATACTTTCCCACCGTTGAATCTCGGTTACAGGCGAAATGGGTCCTCCCGGACTATTGGGTTTCACAATTTCTCACGGGACATGGGGGTTTCAGAGCTAAACTCCATGGCTACGGACAGGATATAGATCCCCACTGCCCCGCTTGTGGTGTTCCGGAGACTGTTGAGCATGTGGTCACGGCCTGCACTGCTTTCGACGAATTAAGAGCGAGGTTAATGAGAACGACGGGAATTTACGTCCTCACTGAGGAGGAGTTTCCTCAGTTGGTGAGTGAAGAAAACTTTCCGCGGTTCAAAGACTTTATAAATGGCTGGAAGACGGCGGTGGGCCCAGCTCACTTCAACCTAGGTGCACACAGAAGGAGAAGAGGACCAGTCCCAGGAAGACCTCCGGATTCGGGAAACCAGGCCTAAAGGAGCCAGGAAAAAGTAGAAGAGCTAGCTGTGTGCACAGCTTAGAATTTTGTAAACTGATATTATGGCAGTAGTGTGTTATTATGCATTAATGCTTAACATCACACTACTGCATACACCCGTGTTGCCCTGGTGGCATGGGAGGGTGGAAAACAAATAAAAAAAAAATAAAAAAAATATAGAAAAAAATATATAACAGTGTTGTTAAACATTTACCATGCAATTATTCATAATATGTACAACATAAAAAATGTTATGTTGTTTTTTTACAGTGTGAGAACCTATATTATTAAACTTTTTTATAAATGGTTATATCTCCTCCTATAAGGATTGTCACCGGTACTTTTCTTCTTTGACCTACAAGGTAAGACAAATATACATCGTGCTCACCATCCATGTCCCCATCACTTTTTACTTCTATTTTGTTTGAATAAACCTGAGTCATACTCTGTAAGTATAGTATTAAAAAAAATAATAAGAGTTCTTGTATCTAATCTAGCTTCCTCTTTGATTCCTGATAACCCTCCGAAGCGTCTGAGAAGAAGAGGGCTTCGAGTCATTCTAATAAAGAATTATAATTAAAGCGATACAAATAGGTAGTTTCTCTTCGTGTTTTACATGTTATATTGCCAATTCATATTTACTGATTGTTTTTTCCATCCAATACAGTTTCAATAATATATTTAAAACAGCATAGAGCATTGAAGAAAATGAGATTGAAAAATGCTAAGTTACAAAATTAAAAAACTAGACATGAATCAGTAAAAAAGAAATAAAAATCGAGGCATATTCAAAAGATAATTCCAACTCCGTTGATAATAAATGTTAATAAACTATTTTTCTAATATTTATTTT